TCTTAGAAACATCTTAGTAGAAAATCGCTCCCTGTCACCTAAATCTTGGCCAAAGTTAAAAAATCAAATTTTTCAGGTGGAAATTTCCAGAGGTTATGTGATATTTCTGTAAATCGACATCTAATTAAATTTCCTGATGTGTCTTTTCACCACTTATTAATGGCTACCAAGTACTGTATGGCACGTTTGCTATGTCTGGTCATAGTTTAAAAGAATAAATTTAGAGACATGATAAATAAATTGGAAAGCAAATAAATTATCAATAAATTTTTTAAAAAAAATTTCTTAATCCTTTAAAATTCTCTTAATAAGTTAAAAATAAAACTTTAAATAACTTTAAATATCTCCTAAATAAAAAACACTTACTGTGTAATGAGATAGAAGTATATATAAGTGACAGAAGATTAATTATTTCAAAAAAGAAGTAGAATATGCATTAGAGGAGTAAAAATTTTTGTCGAAGGTTTTTTTTTATTTGTGTAAAGTAAAAATTTTTGTCATCAAAGTTTTTTTTTTTTTTTTTAAACGTAATTTTTAATTTTTTTGACATTTGTGCAATGTTTCCATATGGTAATTCATGTGATCTATAAACTATAAAATTTTAGCGGTGGCGCAGAACATGATGTCTTTAGACTTTCTGCACCATACCCTCCATTTTATTATTTTTATTTATCACATCATTAATTTCATCATATATATTCTCTTTATTATTTTTATTTGTTTTACCATCTATTTTATTATTTTTATCCGTTTTGCCATCAATTTCATCATATCCACCTTTATACCTACCACCCAAATTCAAAATCCAAATGCCAAAATCCCAAATGCCAAAATTCCAAATCCCAAATTCCAAATTATGATTAGTATTTTTTGCCGAAATCCCAAATCCCAAATCCCAAATACTAGTAATTTGAAATTTTGGCGTCCCAAATCCCAAATGATTTGGGATTTGGGCAACACGTATATCCACCTTCCATTTTGTCATATTCACCTATTCCACTATTCATTTCTACATGTCTACCCATTTAATTATCCATTTCATTATATCTATCCATTATTTCATCATGTCTATCCATTATTTCATCATGTCTTTCCATTATTTCGTCATGTCTCCCCATTTCACTATTTTCACTTGTTTCATTACACTCATATATTTTTTTTATTTTCATTATATCCACTATCTATTCTAATAAAAGAAACAGTTTCATTATTAATTTCATCATCGTTATTATCTAAATTAATGAGTTTAAAAAAATCGATAAGAAAATTTGTCTTCTTTACTGTTACAGTAAATTTTTCATGAGGACCATATTTATGATAATAGGTTACAGTTGAATTGCCTATATATGGTCTTTTTTTCTTTTGGATAGAATAGGTCCACATTAAATTAATTACAGATAAGTAGTTTCATCATTGTTCCAAATATTCATCTGAGTCACTTTCTTCAGAGTATTCATTAGAATCACTTTCATTACTTTCATAAGTAGAATCATTATTATCTTTCTTGGAAATAAATTTGTCAGTATTTACATCACGATTTATTTTTTGTTTTTTTTGCTGTTATTAAAGATTTTTTTAAAGGCATGAATTTTCAAATTCAAAAAAATATCATGGGAAACTATTTTTTTAAATAAATTTACTATTTTAGTATATTCTCAAATTAATGGCTATAGTAAATTTGTATGACTTTAACTTGATATAGCATGATCAATTTCAATTAAAATAAAATTTTAACTGATAACTCTTAAAGCCTAGGCTCTAGGCTATCAATTTAACAGTTTAGATTTTTATTTCTATATTTAGAAAAAAAAGTTTTTATGTAAAAAAGGCAGCCAATTTTTACTATAACCAAGTTCCTATTATAGAGGTTCTGCACTATATATAATTGAAATTCTTAACCCACTCCATTATGAAGTAGGTTATAACCTGGAGTTGCTCCGGAATATAATACTCCATTAACAACCCTATCAGAAGCATTAATAAGCAGATCTCTTCTTGTATTTTGTATGAGAAAATTGTTATTGATTGAAATATTTGTTGTATCATCCTCAAACATTCTAAAATCTCTATTTTTGTAATAAATATAAATCCTCTAGTTTAAATTCACTTGTACAATTGACAAGTTCTGAAGAATTTCTCAGGCCTGTTCTTTGTTTTTGATCAGATCTAACATGATGAGACATTTGTTTTTCTAAAGGTTAGAGAATGGAATTTTTTTATTCAGATTTGACAACCATATTACATGATAAAGTCATCAGCATTATATAAGAAAATGTTGAACTTGTAACCAATAATAATACATTTTTATTTAGTTGTTTTGTCATTATAATTACTTATACTTAACACCATTCTATTTTTTTTTCATTTGACTAATGAAATACCAGTTGTGTGAATTATACAATCAAAGTACTTGAGAAACTAACTTGCAATAATATCAAATTGATAACACTTGAAGAACTCACAAAATTGATATTAGCTTTGTCATTTTACTTGGTTCCAGTATATTTGTCCTGTTATATTTCATAATACAAGAGCTTTCAAGGAAAAATAATTATTATTATCTTTATAGAATTATGATTACTGTGAAAGAAAAATATTGAAAAAAATATCAAAATACAAGAAAAATCAAACATATTTTATATACTTCTGACTTTTACAATTAATTAATTAAATACAATTCTGACAACATCACATGCAGATTAATAATTAATTAATATGGTTAAAATTTTACAAAATCTATATTTATTTATTCATCTACAATAAATAAATTAATAAAATAAATAAAATAAATAAGATGAAAAAAATTTTCTCACAAATCACTTCTAATTCTAAAACCTGGTCCAGGTGGTTGACTTGTCAAAGTTGTTAACCCTCCAGGAGGTTCACATGTATGACGACCAGATTGTGGTCCAGGTTTTGGGATTTCTCCGGATTTAAGTAAATCAAGAATTTTTTTAGTAGTCTCTGGTGTTAAATCCTCCTAAATTATAAAAAATCATAATAAATTATAAATAATGAATTTTCAATTAAATAAATGCAAAAAAAAAAGAAATATTATATCTATTAAATCAAGACATACGTAATAGTCATCATTAATAGCCAAAACTGGTGCATTTACACATGCTCCTGCGCATTCAACTTCCACTAATGTAAAAAGACCATCAGGTGTGGTCTCATCAACTTTTATATTTAAATGATTTTGAATAGTTTCTAAAATCTTTGTTGAACCACATAATTGACAAGGTGTGGTTGTACAAAGTTGAAGGAAATATTTTCCAACTGGTTCTCTGTAAAACAAATTAATTATTTTTAATTAAAGAATTGGTTCTTGAAAAGAAAAAAAAAATATCATAATTTACATTTTACCTATTAAACATTGTATAAAAGGTTGCAACTTCATATACACGCATGGGAGGAATTTCTACTAATTTTGCTACAGCATTCATTACAGATAGACTTGTCCACCCGAGTTGACGTTGACCAAGATCTAATAATGGTATCACAGCAGCTTTTTTATACTGTGGAGGATACCGCTTTATGATCTCCTGAGCACGATTTAAATTTTCAGGTGTAAATTCAAAAGGAATAGATGCATTGTTTTCTGGAGTATCTCGATGCTTTCATTTTTTTTTTAAGAAGAATAATTAATAATTTGGTCTCTTGAAAGTTGAGTCGAAAATAAAAAAAGAAAAATAAATACATACAACAAATAATTTACTGGATAGAACTTTTGATGAGCCATGAAAAGATCTTTGAGAAATTCTCGTGCTCAACAAAGTTGACTTGTTGAAAGTTGATCGTACAATAGTATTTACAAAAGACATAAAAATATTTAGTTGTAATATCGCGATATTATATGAAGTGATCGGCTGTGCTACATGTTTAGAAAAAAATTTAACCCTAATTTAAAATTTCTTTGAAAAATTTTGACCATAAATATGTCTCAAATTCGAATGTACAAAAACCCTGTTCTCATAAAAGTTAAAAGTGAGAAAGAGATTGACGATAAAGAAGCAGTACAAAGTATAAAAATGTACTTAAAAAGTGATGCCACAGAAGCCCTTCCTCAAAAAAAATTAGATAACCTGAAAAAATTACAAAGATTTCTTTCTCGAAGCAATAAACTTAAGTCCGATTCCGTCAATAATGAAAGAAAATGTGACGAGCTTGATGAAAAAGAAAGAAATCAAGTGAAGAAACGAAAAATAAATAAGAAAGATACAGAATCAAAGAGAAACAAGAAGCGAAGAAAGAGTTAATTTTAAACATTTTATTTTCATTACATAGTTTTCATGCTAAGATTTTTTTTTTTGAAATACATAGGAAGGAAATATAATTCCGATTGCTATTAATATGTTTTTATGTAATGTTGCAAACCTGAGACTGAATTGAGAATGTTAAAAGCAAAGGTTTTTTATTTACTTTTTGGTTTTATTATTTTTTGATCGAGAAGAAAATTACTAATTTATTATTTATAATTAAAGATTGTAACATTGATTAAATATCTTTAAAGAGCTATTTCAACAAATAGTTTCATACATCTAATAATGATAACATGTTATTCTATTATTATTTATTGAATTAAAAATATTAATAAAACATGTTCAAGTTTTAATTGTAACAATAGTTGTAATTAAGGACCTTTGTATAAATATCTCCTAAAACGTTCAAGAACATTCGGTGTGATGAATCTATCAAATCAGAGTAGAATTAGAGAATACTTCTACTCATTACTCTTCATATGTGTATTCTGTGGTACGATTGAGTATATAATCAATAAATTCATTGGTTCTCTGATATTTCAAATTTTTATTTTTTCCTCACGAATGTAAAATATTTTTGTGTAACCTCAAGGCCTAGTATAGAAATCTCCAATAATTAACTTTTTGTCGTTAATAATGACAAAATCAGCTGATTTCATTACATAGAACAAGTATAACGATAGTTTTTTTAAGATGCGACTTTTACGTGAACGCTGATCCTTAAATTTTTAATTGGTTGACACAGTCATTTGATAGATTGTTTTTTGTCTGTATAAATAAGTTTTTTCAAAGAATCTTTTCTCAGTTTTTCTGTTATAATTAAGCGTAGTTAGCTACCCTTGCCTTTACAAAATGTCACCTGTCGACTATAAAGCTTCTCATAATAAGTCTTCGAAACGAGCACAACGACAAACTACAAAACATAGTTATTACGAAGGAGAGTCGTCGGACATTGACCATACTCGAGACCCTGATATTATAATGCACGACGCTGTTTTAGACGGTTGTGACATCCAATTTGGAATAGAAACATTGAAACCTGACGAAGATGAGTTTGTAAGAGGAAATAAGATAGAACGTGAAGAAAACGAAACTTTAACAGGTACTTCTTTTTTATATATATATATATTATTTATTTGTTTCCAATAGTTAAAGTTCTAGCTATTTTAGATAATTTTAGATACTTTTAAGCTTCTTTCTTCTTGGAAATGCATTCCTACTTTATTTACTTTATTTAATTTTTATTTCATTTATTTTGTTTACTTTACTTTATCTACTTTACTTTATTTTATTTTATTTTATTTTATTTATTTTTATTTTTTATTTTATTTTTAAACTGCATTTTTTTTACTTTTCATTTTATTAGTAAATAATAATTCTCCAATCGACCAAGAGACATTAAAAAGTCGACAGAATATATTAGCAAGGTTAAGTTATTTAAATTCGGAGTTTTTTAGGAGAAAGGATGAGTAAGTACTTCATTTTTTAATTCTTCACAAACTTGTAGTCGGTCTTTAAATTTCGGAGTTCAAAACTTATTAAACAATAACCTTTTTTTTTGTAGGATATTTAAAGAAAAATTAAAACAAATTGATGAAGAAATCAAGGCAGTACGAGAAGGTTTGAATGAATGCTACATTATAAAAATTCTAAGGTATTGGGAATTCATATATGTAGTTCAAACATTGCTAATACAAAATGTTATTTTATAATATCAATTTTTCTTTTTTAATAATATTATTAGGAACACATCCCGAGTTTGAAGAACGTTTACAACAGATTATCGACAAACGTGATCAAAAATTAGAAAGACATTCGCTAGCATTTATTAGTCGACAAAATAGCATACAAAAAGAATATGAAACGGAAACATCACGCATAGAAGAATATTATCAAGTGTGTAATATTTTAATGATTTTAATGATTTTAATAATTTTGTTAATAATTTTGTTAATAATTTTGTTAATAATAATTTTTGATTGAATATGATGAACAGACACAACGTCAAGCCATAAATGATAGAATAATAGCAGAAATTGAAGAAAAAAAACGAAAATTAGCAGAAGACTATGAAAGTTATGATATACATAATGGTTGGTATTTATTTTTGGATTTTTATTATAATGTAAGTTTAATTTTTAAGCTTATTATTATTATTATTATTATTATTATTATTAAATCAAAGATACTGCTATGGAGGGTACATTGCGTAGTCATTCACAACGAAGGTTACGTACTCGAACTACGCATGAAGTTGAAGTAAAAGTGAAAAAAACAAAACAAACAGATATCCTTTTCTTTTATATTCAACATATTTCTGTATTTGGGAATGTATCACATTTACATGATTTTTGTAATACCATGTTAAACTTAACGTAATCATTGTACGACCATCAGTATCTTGTAAATTGCACGAGAGTGAAGCCAATGAAGATTTAGCTGAAATGGGTTTGGTAAATATAAATATATATATATATATATATATATACATATTTAATATTTAATAATATTTTTTTAATTTATTTATATATTGATTAGAGCGGATATGCAATCCGAAAATCAACGGCAACTAATAGCAAAAAGAAATAATTCTTGTATCTTGTTTATATATAATTTATTTTTTCCCCTTGATTTGCTTATTATTTGAATTCTTTGTCTATTAGAACGGACAATATCCCTTCTTTTTTTTTTGTTTTGTTTTTGTTATATCTAAAAAATGAAAAGAAACATAATCAGTTAGAAATGCATTCCTTTTATAGCTACTAACATTTTGATTTGTTTTAAACATCAAGTTCTAGAAATTTTATAAAATTTATTATTTGTAATATATTATTGTATTGAATTTAATAATAAACCATTGAACGATTATATCATTTAGTAAAAATCTGTTAATATATAATACATAAAAATAATTTCTATTTCTAATTATAATTAAATGCATACTATTGAATAAAATTTAATTCACAATATTGAAAGTAAAATAAATATTATCAAATATAAAGGATATCAATTTATTCTTGATTAATGGATGTATTTTGTTTACAAAAGTTTATCTAATTGTGACAAATTACGCATTCCGCAAAAAAAAAAAAAATTCAGCTTTTCTGGGATGATAACTATGATTATCTTTACTCATTTATTTATGGACCAACACTTTATGGCGAAGCAAACATCAAATCAATACTTAAGGAGAAATCTTGAAGTAATGTTAAAGATAAAATATTCTGTTTTACTATAAATATAATGTTAAATATAATGTTAAATAATGTTAAATATAATGTTAAATATAATGCTAAATATAATGTTAAATATAATGTAAATGTAATGTCAAATATAATGTTAAATATAATGCTAAATATAATGTTAAATATAATGTCAAATATAAGGTTAGCTAAATATAAATATAATGTTAAATATCAAATGCATTGTTAATAAATATATTGTTACATGAGGACCATTACATCTCTTCTAATAAAGTGACTATACATCACGTCATCATTAACCAAAGTAGGAGCTCTTTTGAACGCATATTTCACCACTCTTACACTTTTCACACAACCTCCTAATGTGAAAGGGACCATCCTTTGATGCTACTATACGTTTCCATTCCCTAATTAAGCCGTTTCCCTCGCATTCACGACATCTTATAATCGAAAAATCGCGCGTCGGAAGCCTTTCTGACAATTTTCTACATACTTTCGGAGTGATATCCAAGTATAGGAGCTGTCCCATTCATGTCTTTTACCGCATTCCCAACTGCCGAACACTCTGTATAACGTTTTTCCTTTGGTTTTCTGGCCTTGGACCATACTAGATGACAAATGATTTCGCTCTATTGGATAATTTTAGAAAGAATGTCTAAATTTTGCAAAACGAAATTATTCTTTATTCTGGCTTACCTTCAGGATTTTGTTCATGTGGCTCTTGAATAGGAGGAAACTCACAATCAGACTATTGTTTTTGCATTCCTCGCACTGTTTTGTGAAGTTTTCTTTAAACGGTTTTTGAGTTCATCCTGACTATATTTTTCAGTCCACCTTTTTTGGAATTGTCATTTATTTTGATATAGCGGATCGTTTACACATTGCCAAGTGCTCTGCTTCCACCCTCTGGATTGACATTTCCATTCGGTTGAACATCCCAGCTCACCTTACTAAACATGCGGGCATTTCCATTTTTTTTTGACATTCCCTTGGGTCTTCACATTGATGCAGAAATTTCCATTCATCTTCATACTGGTGCTTAGGTGTTTGCGATTTTTCCAGACATTCACTTTTGTATTCACATTGGTGCTGGCATTTTGATTGGCAGATCCATTTCTTTTTATGATTCGACATATTACATTTCCATTTGTTATAACATTTGGGTTTGTGTGAACATTTCCATTTGTCATGAAGTGGTTTATTTTGGCATTCTAATTTTGTTGCACATGTCAATTTGTGATAGCATTTCCATCTACCTTGACAATGTGGTTCGTATTTTTCTTTCCATCTGTGTTTACATTCTCATAGGTCTTGACATTGTAGTTGGTGTTGACATCGCCAATTATTTTTACATTGCCATTTACTTTGACACATTGGTTTGTGTCGGAATGACTATTTTCTTTAACATTGTTCTCTGGTTGTGCATTCCGGCTCGTGTTGACATACCCACTTGGTTCGACATTGCATATCAGTTTGACACTGCGGCTCGTGTGGGCATTTGTTTCGATATTCAATTTCATATTTACATTTTAGTTTGTGTTTGCATTTCCAATGCTGACAAAACCATTGGCCTTCAATAATGTAATCACTGTATTCTGAATTCTCGGTTAAGAAACGGATAACTTCAGTAATCTAAGGGAACAAATGTTAAAAAAAAGAAAAATACATGAAATTCTTGCACAGTGATACCTCTATACAATCATTCCCTATCCAATATAATCACACCTTACATGTCTCCCGAGTGTGTTATTATAGAGGTATAATTGTCTTTCAGTCTGGTTATTAACTTTAACCCACCTGACTTAATTTCATCTCCATTTATGGTCGCTAGCTATTAAATAATCAAAGGTGTTGTCAACAATCAGGCAGAGAAAAGTTACAGCATGTATTAAAAAAATTCAATATATCGTCTCCTAGAAGAGGCAATTTTGGGTAAACGGTTGAAAAAAACACTTTATTCCTGAATGAACGAAAAGGGAAGCGCGTGAAGGAATTCTTTAAATAAACCGAGAGGTATAGTAAAACTTTATAAGGAAAGAAATAACTATAATTCTTGCCTTAGAATTAAAAAGCACAAAACAGAAAAACAAGAAAAGTCCGAGTCCGTCAATTCCGTAATACGGGGAATTTGGTTAGGGCGATCAACATGTTTGGTTAAACGCGTGGTGCTGCAAAAACCAGTTTTTTTATCAAAACAAAATTCCATACTAGAAATTTTATAAAGAAAATTTGTCGGACTTGAAGCAACTTTTGTCATCCAAGATGGCAGATATTAAACGTAAAAGAAAAGAAAAGTCAAATGACAGTAGGAAAAGGTTGTCACGTGAAGATACAGAATATCGAAGAGATTAACAAATGTTTATGCTGAAAAACATTAAATTTAAATCCAAAAGAATTAAAATCTCAAACTTAATGGATTTTCCTTTGAATTATTTCAAACAAGAAATCAATAAATACAGCATTTTCTATTTTTCCCTATTAATATAAAAAAAATCTTTTTTTTTATATCTTTATTACTTGAATTTTCACATAAAACTATGATAAAAGCAATTTGTTTATATGAAATTTTGCCATATTATTTTTCTAGAACTGTTCGTTATAAACACTGATAAAAACATAACCTGCATAAATGCATAAAGTTTTCATGGAATTATGCATTAGATATAATAAACGTACAACAAAGCATAATCACATGTACCTGTACATTTTGTATTGTAAAAGTATTAAGTCTTTTTACTATTGAAAGACCAAAGATTACAAGTAATGAAGCAACTAATACATTAAATATTTTAAAACTTTTTTTTTTCAATAATATTGAAGAATTAGTTTAAATAATTTTAAATAATTTAATTATTAACTTACATAAGCATAACTGCATTGAACTTGAACTGCAAGACATATTGTCAAAATAGAAAAATACAAAAATATTAAAAACAATACAAATAAAACAATAAAAACAATAAAAACAATAAAAACAATAAAAACAATAAAAACAATAAAAACACTATCGATATTTAGTCAATCTAAAAAATGCAGCTAATTTAGGATCTTTGTGATGTATTTTAATCTTGTTAATATCATTAACATTATAATTTCTATTTCTATTTCTATTTCTATTCATCAATTCTCTTTCATCTTCAATCATTCTTTCATCATTTATTCTTGCAATCTTTTTTTCTTGTTCTTCTTGTTGAATAATATTTTTAACAGTCTCGGGTAATTCCCAATGAAGCATTTGTTTTTTTTTCCATCGATTATCTTGTGATTTTTTATAATAATCAAATCCTTGATATTTATCATATTTATCAGAATTAATATCCACTGATTCTTTAAAATATTTTGATTCTTTAATATATTTTTTTGAGTCATCTTTTGTAACATATTCATCATCATCATCATTTAAATCTTGTTTTTTTTTATTTTGTGACTTTTGTGATTTTTGTGATTTTTTTTGTGAATTTTTAAAATAATCAATTCCTTTATCATATTCATTAGAACCAATATCCATTGGTTCTCTATTATATTTTGATTCTTTAATATGTTTTGATTCTTTAATATATTTTTTTTGATTATCCTCTGCAATATATTCTTCTTCTTCTTCTCCTTCTTCAAAATCTTGTTGTCGTTTTATTTGACTTTCTTTTTCTTTTCTTTTCATTGAACTAATTTTATCAGTTATATTAGAAGTATTAGTAGCATCAGTAGTAGTAGCAATAGTTGGAGTAATTGAATTTTTATTTGGATCCCAATCTTTTAAGCAATGTATGTTTAGATATTTTTCTTTATCAATTGTTTCTTCATTAATAAACCAAAGATAAGAACTTTCTCCTTGTGATAATTTAGTAAGTTCGACGTTACTACTTTTTCTTTTATAAAGGTGATCACGGTTTTTCATGTTTTTTAAAATATCACGTTTAAGATAATTTTTTGATTTAAATTGAGGAAAGTGAGGCATATAAGAAGCTAATTGTTTTCCAGACATTGGACCATATCTGGCTAATAAATGGAATATTACAGTGGTTGGTCTAACTTTATCAAGGGTAACGTGGGGATTTGGTCCATTACGAAAATACATTTTCTTTGAATAATGAAAATTCAATTTTCAATTTTATTTTCTGAAATTTTGAAAGAGAAATTAACGAACGACGATGCGATGATAATCAAAATATTTCAATCTATAAATGGAATTACTACGCGCCAATCACATTTGTCACATGAAATAACTAACATTTATTATAATAAATAAAAATTTTTTTTTCTCTTCTTCTAATTAACGGTATGAATAAATGGAATGAATTATAAATATAGAAGCTACAGATAAGATCTACTGTATAATTTAAATATTTAAATTTACAAAGAAATAAATAAAATGAAAGAAATTACTTTCAAATAAATAAAATAAATATCAATACTCTTCACTAACATTATTCTTTGATATATGATGACAACGCTGAAAAAAAAAGAGAAGAAAAAAAAAACGGTAAAATGGGAAAATTATCTAAGCTCTCTTACGGTGTTTAAAGTCTGGGTCAATAGAATTCATATCAAAATCAGGAGGTCGAAATGGCCATTTCTCAAAATGATAAGCTAATTCTACTAAATGATCGACAGTAGCATCAACCACTGCTTTTCTTGAATCAAAAGTTAAATTTATGTTTATATTTTCAGCACCTGCTCCCAATTTACTAATATATATATATATTATTTATGTATAATGAATAAAATAAACAATGAATAAAATAAATAAAAATAAACAATGAATAAAATAAGTGTAAAATATATAACTTACTATAACATATCTCGTATAGGTGCATTCTTTTTTAATACCATATGAGATAATATGAACTCAAAAGTTTCTAGTGGTACTATTATAAAATTTATTATAAATTACAAATTTGACAAAAAGAAAATTATTCACAAAGTTAACGTTAAATAGTGCATATATATACGTACCTTCTTTACTAATTTTCGATTCAGCCATTGGAATCATACTGTATAATACATGTATACCCTTAGTAAAATAAATATAAATAAATGAGAGAGTGATATATAAATAAGTGAAAGAAATGTGAATAAGGAAGAGATATAAAGTCATTAAATACCCTACTTTCGGTTGAAATGCATCTTCAGGAATTAATCGTAAAATTTCTAATTCGGAAACTGCTTCTCTCATAAAACTTAATTTTGAACGTTTACTGTCACCTGTCGATGCTGATAATTTCTATAGACAATAATAATAATAAAATAGATAATAATAATAATAATAAAATAGATAATAATAATAATAATAAAATAGATGATAATAGTAATAATAATAGATAATATGTTAAATTCTTCTAAAATTCACATAATCCTCAAAACGTAAATATATTTTTAATATTTTTATTCTTATATAATCCAATTATATCCAATTAAATATTAATATATATTATTATTATCTTTTTATATCTACCTCAGCAGCAAACGACGGAGTAATTAAATTCATTCTAACTCTACCGAATTTTTGAATCCCGGATCGTCGATGAAAATCTTTGAGATATTGCCCTAACATATGTATACCATGCCACTTGTTTGGCACATGGACAATAGAGAATAGTGATGGGTGAACTTTAAGTTTTTATTTATTATTTATTTTTTTTCAACGATGATGAAAAGAAGGGGACATAATCCAAAGCAGTAAAAATAGTATTGAAGTAGTATTTGAATATTGTTGAAGTATTGTTGAAATGGTAATGGGAGATGATGGAATAAAAATTACTAATATTTAATATTAATATTAATATTATATTACTATGATTATTATAATTATTATGATTATTATAATTTAAATAATAATAATATTGGTCTCATCTACCTTCTTCCCAAGGATGTGACTCTACTTGAATATCTGATATCCAATCATTTTGATTCAAAACTTTTTTAACTTCTAATATTTGTAAACGGTTATCTGATTCGCATTTTAATTTCTAGTCAAAAATGAAATATATTAGATATTTATTAGATATAATTTATTAGACAAATTATTTAATTAAAATTTAATTAAATTTTTATACTTGTAAATAAATCAAAGCATCTTTATTATTTTCAACTGCAATGACTCTTTTGACATTGGGACATTGGAGGAGTGCATATGTAAAACATCCATAACCTTATTATAATTATATAATTAATTATAATTATTATAATTATAATTATAAATTGGATTATCATTATAATTATTATAATTATAATTATAAATTGGATTATCATTATAATTTATTGAATATAATTTACAAACCAGAATTTAATTCAATCACTGTAGAATTCTTTGGAATTTCAAGATCTTTTACTAATTCAGCTAAAATAATTAATAAAAAAAATATTATAAAAAAAAAAATATTATAAAAAAATATCATAAAATCTTTACTAAAATTAATAAATAATTATATAAAAATATCTTTTACAAATTTATATATCCCTGTGTATATAATGCAAATTACAAACCAGCAATATCCAATTTCACCAAAGAGGCTCGCGCCTCCCTTAACGCTTTACTTAGTGTAGCTTTACCAGGAATCCACATTTTTTTAATTAAAATATAAAAAAAAAATATATATATGATAATATGATAATGAAAAAAAAAGGGGGTATGTATTGTTGTTGTAATGTTTATGGACAATGGATAAAAACGTAAATAAATTAGTAAAAAATTTTTATTTGATAAAAATTGATAATCAAAAAAAAAAAAAAATTCCGAGAGATGAACTCATCCAATCAAAATCAACATATGGGCTGATTTGTTTCACTTCGATTATATCACCTGCTTATGATATACATTCAATTTTGTCACCAATAAAATTATAATTATTGAATTATCGATTATAAATAATATACGTGACGTTTTATTATTATTTTCAATGACTACTTTTTCTTGCCTACTTTGTTTTAAAATTTATGATACAAAGAAAAAAATTCAGAGTCTCAAATGAAAAAATCATAAAAACAATAAATTTGTTTCACACCATCATATACTTGGTAAACCTTCTTATCCTTTTATAGAAATGCAATGATAATTCGTTTAAAAAATAGTCTAGGATTTAATAGACACTCATTTGGAAAAAATATATAGTAATTGATGTATTTCCAGAGAGTATATTTTTATCTTTGTTTGAAAATGAGGATAGCTTCAAAAATATACCAAGCCTACAAAAATATCAATGCATTTTAGAAGGTGCAGTAGGTGAATAAATATTAAAAAGCATATTAAAATACAATCAAATATATTTTGTGAAAATAAGGATACTTCAACAAAAGGTTACATTTTACTTGAAGACAATGATGGGCAATATAAATTAACTTTTATTTGAAAACAAAAGGAATGAAAAGAGAATAATAGACTTTTTTTAACTGGAATTTTATCAATTAATTTTATTACTAATTCTGGCAGATTTGTAAATGAGTAAGTATGATTATATTGATT